ACTAAACATAAATTTTGATGAAGGTTTGAATTATGGTTTTTCCTTATTTCCTGTTTACGACAAAGTTTCCTAATGTTATGTCTAAACAATGTTATCTTAACAAATAAATACTCACCTCTGAATGGGTGAAGTAATCAGTAACCATGTGTATTTTAGCTTCTTGTAGGGTCCAACCAAATGTCTGCAAAAATCAAACAAATTGTAATGACAGTAAAAATTTGGCATCACTTAATTATATAATATAAAGAGTGAAATGGGTGATCAAAGTTGTTCATAATTTCTAGATTTAAGGTGAAAAGACACTAATTAAATACCAACAGAATGAAACACACAGAACCATCATACATGTGTATATACATTCATAATACAAACCAACATGCTTTAAGGGTGCTTGTTTCAATGTGTTCGTGTGTGTACAAGAATGTGCATGTGACATGAGTATCATAGATAATTTTTTGAATACCTCACCAGAGATGAATATATCTGGAAACCCGAAATCCATGAAAGCTTGATATGAATAGTAGCTGAGAAAATTTGTATTTGATAAAACTAAGAGTTGCATCTCAGTTGTCACTATCTCCACGGATACAAGTATTGTAAAGCACTAAAGTTATAATTATGAAAATTTTAAACATCTCTTGAGTTGTTGCAATACATACCTGAACTACTGAGCTTAACAGAAGTCTAAATCAGATAATTGAGGAAAATTGAAAAGTCTAAACTCGAACTGAAACTTGCACAAAATTGAAACATTTAGCATAGAATAAACAACATGGCTTGATATCTTAACCTATCTAATGTCACAAGTATAAGAGGTAGGCATCGTTCATTTGCTCCTAAAGCAATTATTCTCCAAATCAAACTGTCATGGTACATTGATCCACACACCGTTGTCTCTTCCGTCAAAATTGCATTCTGAAGAATCTCAACATTATTTATGACCATTTTCTGAAAATGGTCCAATGTTCAGTAAGCAACCAAAGATGTATAAAACAGAGAGTCTAAACCAGAAAAATGCAAGAAAAAAATGGAGATACCTACGGCACAACCATTAGCATCACAAGAAAGCTTGTAAATAAGGATGACTGATGCAACCGCACTGTGAGCTGGTTGAAGCATGCTTAATTCTCGTCGAACCAACCTTCAAGCAAAAGAACAAAAAACCAGGGGCATTCGGTTCTGGAAACGAAAAAGGGGACGAAAAAAGAACAAAAAAAGAGAGAATAAAATCGGGGTAGGAGATTTTAGAGAGCAATAAAGAAAAACAACAACAAAATCAGTACACTACTTTCATTCATCAACACAAAACGACCATCACCACTCATCCATGAAAATAAAAAAGAGAGCACCTTTCGAACATCAACCCAGAAAATGAATATTAGCCACAAATAAGAGAGAAAATAGAGAGAAAACCTAAAAAGGACCTACCTTTCGTCGAAGCCACCATCGTTCCTCTTGGACCTAAGCCAAAGCCTTCAAGATTTGAAGGTATTTTCTTTTTTTTTTTTAAAAAAAACCCTTTAGATGTAAAGGTTGCATATAAGCTTCTAGGTTTAGGGGGTTATTTTTGCGTTAAAATGGGAGAGCTTTGGAGGTTACCCCATCATCGGCACCCGATTTACGGTGGCCGTGGGTTGCTTTTCTTCTACCTCATCGAAGAAAAAAAGGAGCTGAAACACTCTGGTAACATATATGCGACAAGGGAAAAAAAAGAAATGGGAAAGTAGGGAAAGTAGGCTTTTGCTTAAATCTCCTTTTCGAGCTGAAGAGATAAATTGTTAAAATTTGCGGCGTTTTTTAACCCAAACGCCACAAACATACCAAACTATTGCGGCTTTTGTATAAAAACGCCGCTAAAGTACTACTTTATTGTGGCGTTTGTTGAAAAAATGCCACTACAGATGAACCCTATTGCGGCGTTTGTATAAAAAGCGCCGCTAAAGTACTACTCTATTGCGGCATTTCTTGAAAATGCCACTAAAGATGAACCCTATTATGGCATTTTTATAAAAATGCCACTAAAGTACTACTCTATTACGGTGTTTGTTGAAAAAAATGCCACTACAGATGAACCCTATTGAGACGTTTGTATAAAAACGCCGCTAAAGTAATACTCTATTGAGGCATTTGTATAAAAACGCCGCTAAAGTACTACTCTGTTGCAGCGTTTGTATAAAAACGCCCCAAAAGTACTACTCTATCGCAGCGTTTGTATAAAAACACCGCTAAGTACTACTCTTTTGCGGCGTTTGTTAAAAAAACGGCACTATAGATTACCCTATTACGGCGTTTTTGTATTAAAGTTACCATTTTGTGGCGTTTGTTATGTAAATGCCGCTACATGTTTAAAGTTAGTGGCGTTTACTCTCAAAACGCCGCTAAAAACGCCGCTGTATAACAATTTTATTGTAGTGAGGAGACTCTAGGAGAAGGAATGTGAGTGCTCCTATTGGGTCTAGAGCCTATGACCTAAAAGAATATAAGGGTACAAAGATGAGCAGTTTGACCAACATGTCAAATGTAAATACTTTCCAAAAACACTAGGTTCTTATCTTAAAGAAAAATACATAATTCATGTAAGTTCATGTATTGATACACCACAACAAAATAAGATAACTGAACCAAAAAAAATAAACATCATCGTTAATGTTTTCCATGAGTGTTCTTAAACATTTGTGGGGGAATCCATTTTATCTACCACTTATCTTATAAACTGAATGCCTAGTAGAATGTTACACTTTAAAAAAAGTCTTGTGAGGTTCTTTTTCAATACTTTCTCCATTTTAAGACTATTTTTTCAATCTCCCTTTAAAAGTATTTAGTTGTTCAGCATTTGTTCACGTTCACCAGCAATTTAAAATCAAATTTGATCCTAAATTCATAAAATATTTTTTACCTTTGAATATATATATACATATAATATGTGTTTGAATATATTTTGTAGTGAAACGCCAGTTTATTTAAAGAAAATATATGGGGACTTTTTTGGTCATAAAACTTCTTTTATAACACAGAAAAAGGAAGAAAGCGTACGATTTTGAAAGACTAGAGATTCCCTAAAACATTGAATTAGAAGGGGATAAAAAAAGGACATATAGAGAAACAATAGATACATATTAAGATCAAATTAAGTGGTAGAAAATTTAAATTTTAAATATTCTCATCAAATCAAGGTTTAAAAAGTTAAAAAATATATAATTAAATAAAATTTAAAAAATTAGATATTAAGATAAGGGAATTTAAATTTAAAATCTATTTTTAAAAGAAATTTGAATTCAAATTTTATAATGAAAACATTACATTTATCAAATATAAACATGGGTGGATCAAGGGGACGAAAAAGAATTCTCCTGAAAATTTAAAATTACTATACATTTTGGATTTTTATTTATTTATTTTTCATTAAAAATCTAATTTCGTCCCTTGACATTTTATAAGTTCATCATTTTTTAAAATTTTAAAAGTTCGTCCCAATATAAAATCTTGATTCCATCCCTAAAAAAATAGATTAAATGTATTTTATAATTTAAATTTCAACTTCAATATCCTCATATCATGATATCATAAAATAAAAAGATTTTTAACCATGTAAACACCTCGAAATTATGATTTTATTTAAAATTAATTTTTAAATATTTTATATACAAATTTCTAAATTATGGCTAGATACTAAATCAACCTTAAAATTTTAAACATTTTATATAAATCTTTAAATTGTCCTAATTCTAATCTTTTGAAAATTTAGAAAATTGTCATGACATTTTGAAACTATTAATTAATTTATTTTAAAAATTATTGAAAATCCAACGCATAACGTTTTAAAGTATATATATTATTTCTAAATGTGTTAAAATTGAATTTATGACCCAGAAAATAATATATTTATAAAAGATCACAAATTTAATTTTTAATATTTTTTGAATTAAACTTTTTAATCAATAAAATTAATAACATATAATAAGATGATCAAAATAAATGAGATTGATAATTTACGAAGTGATATAAAATATTTTAAATTGTAAAAATCAATTTATTTTAAAGATTGATATAAAAAATTTTAAAATTTAGAAAATACTTTTAGAATAAAATATAAATATAAATTAAGAATATCATGTGCAATTATCTAACAAAAAAACTGCCGGTAGCATACTATCATTGAGAGGAGAGAGAATAACCTACCAAACGAGAACAAAAAAATTTAGGAGTATTTTAAAGAGGAAAAGGCTTAATAACTTGAAATATTAGTTCTTAAATGTTACATGAATAGGTTAAATATTTTTTCTAAAATAATAATTATTGCATTCATTCTAAAACTATTTCTATTAGAAATTATTCAAAATGTCAGATTTATTGGCTTATTTTTTTGCAATAATGCAATTGAAAAAAAAATTGTTCGCACCTTTAATAGCTTATTTATATATTAAAAGTATAAACTTGCGTAATACTAAAACAGAATCCATCCACTATATTACCTCATCCGAGTAGTTATGCAGTACGACAACTACCTAAAACACTACCGAAAATATTATTATTTTTTAAATATTTTCGATAAAACGTTATTTAAAATTTTATTTTACTATCAGAAATATTAATTTTGCTATTTAAAAATCGATAAAAAAATAATATTTTAAGTAACACCCCATATTAACATTTTAAGTAGAAAAATAATGTTTTAAGTAATGGTTTACCGAAAATGTTAAAAAAATAATAACATTTCTAATAACGTTTTTCCTTACTCGTATATTAAGATTGTCGTACCTAAGACATTGACAACACACGGCAACACTCACCCCGCATCCCAGACAGCTACTTGAACACAGGACTTTTAAAGAGAATACATTTTTTTTTTACTACTGAAATCATAGTAATCGAGGAGTTCCACTATATTTATTTTTTTAAAATTAAAAGAATATATCATTACAACCCACAAAGAAATTTTGAGACTTCAGAAAAGTGCTTGATTCACCTCCAAATCTTACCAATCAAAATCATATTCTCAATTTTCTATAAACAAGGAAAATTTATTACCATGAAAAGAGCTCAATGTAATCTACAATCTTCCTTTTTTTCAGATTTTAATCTACTCTCTTACTTCTCTTTCTTTGTTTCTACTATTTCAAAGTGTAAGGGAAACAATAAATAAAATAACCTAAGTTCGTAAGTTTTAATTTTTTACCTAGCTCTCCTTTTATGTTGTCGCATCTTGTTTTCTTTTACGAGGAGCTCGGCATAGAGAAGCTCGTTCCACGAATCCGGTACGCCAGGAAGGCACCAATGGCTGCAGTCTTGGTATTTTAGAGGTGCTTTTCTTTCGTCCTCACTCAGTTTCTGCTTTGGGTGCTTTCGGTAAACTGATGGGTGGCCATCCTTTCGGAAATCAGTCAACCGAGTAATGTTGAGATAGCTGACATGCGTTTTCATCCCCTTCAGCACCGACTCTAACACCAACATCTTCGACGAATATGCCGTTAAATATGTCTCGTTCTTGATCGGCTCGGTTTCACTATCACATGCTCCTCCTGAATTCCACTGCCCCCCACTGAAGAAAGATTCAAGCAACCATAAAACCTTTAGTAAATGCCTGCATAATTCTCAATGTGCTACAAGGTAGTAACTTGTTACCCTGCTGGTTTATTCAATTTCAAAACCAGATGGCATATGAAGGAACAGATAGTATCGACATCCAAAAACGACGACAAAATCTGTCCCCTTTACCTGAAATGAGAAGCAGAATAACCCCGGAAGAACACCATAGTCTTCATTGGATTTACATTGGCATCAATCCATCTAGCCCACGTTGTCAATGCTTTCCTAAACGCCTCAAGAACATTGAGTTCATCATAAACATGACTACCTTCTTGGTAATAATCTTTCCTATTGTTTGAGAACGGAAATATCGTTAAAACCAATTGATTACAATAACAGCAATGAAAGTAAAAAGGAAAAAAATATAATCAACCAACCCTTTGGAAGTTTTCTCATGAGTCCACCAATGCCCCGTATTGAAGATGAGGATATAAGCCGATTTATATTGATTAGACGATTTTCCAACAAGATCAAGCCGCAATGTCTCCTTCTTTGCTCCATTTTTGTCCGGCATTTCCCATTCTCGGACCAAGAATGGAGATACAAAGAACTCCAAAGTGCAGTTATAATCCTATTCATCATCAAAGCCAGACCCAAAAAGGTAAACAAATCAAGTTCCATTAGATCTCAAGGATACAATTGATCAATTTTAATGAATGCCGTCAACAGGAAATATGAAAACCTACTTTGAATATGAACGAATACGAAGCTTCCCCTCGAAAGTAGCTTCTTCCATGAGCTTCATAAACATTTTGTGGTGTTTTTGCGGCATTTCTCAGAATGCAAACTAGAGATTCCCACATGTTCCTATTCAGTGAGTCGCCGACAAAAACGAGACGCTTCCCCCTCAATAACTCCAACATGTGAACACCATTCAATCTTCAAAAACAACCAATTCTTATAAGTTAGCTTAATAAAAAAGTAAACAAATTCCATGTAGCTTCTGAATGCAGGATCAATTCCAATGTAAATTCCCTATAAGCTAAAATCAAAGATCAAGATATACCCAAAAATTGCTAAATTAATCTAATCAACAGTTGAACTGAAGAAAACCTCAAAAATACCTTGGCAAAGTGCAGCCTTTAGGCTTCCATTTCAGTTTCTGATAATCTTTATCAGGCCTTCCATTGATAATACAATTAAACTGTTCATCAATAAATGAACAAGAGCCTGGTTTGTAAAGCGGATACGAATTATCCCTCACCCATCCTCCATCAAACAAATCGCAATTCATCAAAGATTCAATCAAACTCTCAATCCCCTGTTTAGCTGACAGCTCTGAACCACTCCCGTCACCCTCTTTTTTCTCGTTCCACTGTTTCTTCGTCGGTGAAGCCGTGATATTTGTCGCCACTCCTTTTTTAGCTGCACTTTTCTCAGATTTGGCCGGAGAATTACTGCTCACGTTAGCGAGCACCGGAGTTTTTTTAGTCACTGTTACAGTCTGATTAATCTTGTCGGACGAATCAGATTTGGCCGGAGAATTTCTACTCCGGTTAGCTACAGCTACCGCCGGCGTTTTTTCATTGACTGTTGTAGTCTGATTCACCTGCAAAACTTGATGTTTATCGGAATTCTCTTTCTTCTCAGCCTGGTTGCTTGTGATAGGTGGATTTCCATTAAGATTGGGAGAAGCAGCTTTGGTCTGATTTGCATGCAAAACTGAACTTTGGGTTTTGTTTGAACTTGTGTTGGGAGGCAAAAAAGTTGTGTTTCTCGAACTAGGGAGTAGATTGTTTTCGCTGAAAGACCGGGTTTCATTAAAAGATTTGGTATGGTTATTAGAAGTGAAGTTAATGCTTTGTTGTTGAAGTGGAGAAGAAGTGTTGGGAGAAAAGAAATTAAAGAGGGAAGGAAATTGAGATCTATGAGAGCCGGCAGTTGTAGAAGTGGATGAACTAGCAGAAAAGATGCTGGAAACCCAAGGAGAAGAAGAGTTTGAAGAAGGGCAAAAGGCTAAGAAAACAGTGAAACCGACAAAGGCAAACATGAAGAAAGCCACGGTTTTTCTCGTTTTGATGATCGAAAAGAGGTTCTTACAGTCAGTAGCGACGGCTGTTCCGCCATTGATGGGCATGTACTTTGCTATATCCGCCATAGGATTGAAAGGCCAATGCCTGATGGCAACTCACAAGCAGATGGAAAAGTCTGGAAAGGGAAGGGAAAATGGCGTTTGGGGAGAGAGAAAATGTGGGAAGTGGGATACGAGCTTTCAAAAGTGAAAAAGGAATGTGCAGGAGGAAGAGAAAGCTGTGAATGCAGAGACTGAGAGGACTCCTTTATGACTTGTGAGAGAAGAAGCCCAAAGACATAGAGAAAAGAAAATTGAAAAAAAAAAGTTAAAAGAAAAGGAAGAATATATGGTTAAAGGAAAAACCAAAGGTCTCCGTTTCTCTGCAATTAACATTTCTGCCATTGAAGAAGTTATTTTCGTCCATAACCCTATCTTTTCTATCTTGGGTAAACTACCTAAATGGTCACTTTAGTTTCATAAATATTCATTTTTATCCATCAAGTTTAGAAAACACATAAATTCAGATAAAATATTAAGTTCATCTTTAAATATTATATAAAATATCAATTTAACTCTTAAATTTTAAATAAAATATTAAAATTATATTCAACTGCCAACAACTTTAAAATTATTATAACATTCATTATATTTTCTAAATAATTCTACATGACTATATGTTCTTTCTAATTTTATTTTCTCAATCACAACAGTCTCTAAATTTAATCCATATTTGACTGAGTCTAATAGCATATAATACTATAAAATTAAATTATTATAAGTAATAGGTAATACGATAAGAGTATTCAAATCCTTCTATTTTTAATTCTTATCTTTTAACTTTACACTTTTATTAATATATTTTTCTTGTTAGTTTTGCATTTTCTTTTGATCTTTTTCATGTTCAATCTGTAATTTATTTTCAAAAAATTATAATTATTACCCTCAATAGAAGTAAAACATGACTTACCGCCAACCTCTTTTAAGATACCTATATAAATTTATTTGTCAACCAAATCTATGTTTTTCCTTTCTCTTTTATTATAAAAATATTTTAATTCATTTTTTATGAAGTAGAAAATAAGAATAAGCTACATTACATAGCCACCGTCATGGGAAAACGACCGAATTCAAATCATCATGAAGAGTCCAAAGGACCTCAATGTAACGATCTTTTAGAAAAATTTAAAAAATATTAATATAAAATTCTTATGACGAAAATAAATTATTAATAAAAATATAAAAAAAAAATTAAATTTTTTTTCATAAATAATTATTCTTATGATCTCTCTCGATCCATTCTTATTTCATTAGACTTGTTGAACTCTAACCAGCCAGGAGCGCCTCAAAAGTTGGATGATATTCCGAAGCTAGGCATTATGGATAACACAATTCGGCCCCTTTGAGATAACTTGAAACCTTGCATTACTGACCTGCTCTAATCAAAGTAGATACGATTGAGGGAAACTGTAAAATTATTATTATTATTATTATATATATATATATTTATTAAAATTTTAATTTTTTTATCTGAAAATTTATAAATTTGATTATTCTTAAAAATTTAGAAGTTCGTCATTAACTTAAAATTTTATATCTGTTCTAAATGAACGTATAAGTTGCATGTAAATTTCTAATAAAAATACAAGTTAAAATATTAAGTAGTTGAGATTCAGGAATTTGAGCTTGTAAGGTCAACTTCGAATCATACTACTGTCACTCTGGGTGAGTAATCTGTAAATTCCTATATAAATTTTAATTGAGTCTTAGGTATGCTATTATCTTGAAAAAAATAAAAAATAGATTTGGTTAGTTAAATTTTATGAATATATACAGTTTAATTATGAAAATAAATCAATATCTTACGTAATTCGTTTCCAAATTAATCAACCGATTGAATGCTTTACTGTTTTATAGTGGACTTTAATTAGTGTTTTTCAATTGAACTGACGTTGCATGCATGGCTGTGTAGACTTTACATGTGGAAGTATAGTATATTATATTATCTATTGAATCTTTTATTTAAATTATTTTTAAACGTAGTATAAGAAGACTTGCGACAATCTCTTACCAAATTAAGAGTATCAGAAAATTTTATTTATTCGATTTCAAATGATTAAATTTGCTTAATTAATAATGGTTAATATTCTAATAAATCTTTTTAAACTTAAATAATTCTTCAACTTTAATTGCTATTCAAATATGTAATGTTTAATTGTCTATGATGGTTAAATTTTCTTGATTGAGTAATAAAAGTTTTCCAATGGAACTTAAAAAATAAATCAATTTATCAAAAATCAGTTGATCTAGTAAGATGAAGTACTGAATTTTCTAGTTTAAGTCAAGAGTTCGAACCCTAATATTTTTGAATGAAACAAATTAAGTTGAAAGGTCGTCATCTTAATCATTGGTGGATCTTCTTGGGGGCCAAGTCCCTATCAATTTTTTAATTATTAACTAATATTGAAAATTTATATTTTTGAAAAATAAATAAAGAAAAATTTATCCGCCCTCAATTAAAAAAATTTATATTTATGAAAAATAAAAAATATTTTAAACTCCGCCTTAATAAATTTCTGATTCTACTCCTACTCTTAGTGGACCTCTCTAAAACTCAGGCTGAATCAATCGATTAATAGATTGAATATTTATGATTAATTAAAATAACCAATCAACTTAGAAAATACTAATAATGGCAGAAGTTGTAATATTGATCACTATCCCTTAAATAAACGTGTATGTACTCTTTAGATTCAATTATTTTGAAAATTAAAAATCAACTTACCTAAAAAAAATAATTATTGTTCTTATGGATCATGAGTATCAACGACGGCAAAAGTGATTGGTCTTTTATTGTTAAATAGTTAAAAATATTTAAAATATATATTATTTTATAATCATCTTAATTTAATAAAAAATTAAAGAAAAAAAACGATTTTAATAAGATTTTTCAACTCTTATCCGTTTTAAAAAAAATAAGCATCAAAGTTTAATAAAATAATAATAATAAGCATCAAAGTGGGACCCTTTATAACTGTTTCCTTTATTTATTTATATCTTTTATGTTATTTTTAAGGTTATTTATTTTTGGGTAAACTAACAACTTAATCACTTAATTATTACTGCATTTCTATTTTTCAAATAAATACTAAAATTTTTATTTGTAATCACTAACGTCATGTTTCCATTCTCTCTGTTTGAAATTTATTACGGATAATTTTCTAAAGAAATTGGATTACCCTCAAAAATTAAAATTTAATAATTTGGACAAATCAGTAAACACATGTTATGGGTATTATGAGAATAAGTATAAGTACCCTAAACAAGATTCAATGAGAAGGAGTTAATAATGGAAAACGATAATTTTTTAATTGTAAATGAAATGGAAGAGTGATCGAAGGGATTGGACTAAAAAGGAATGTTCCAAAGGAAGAATATAAAATATTATGCGATAAAAATGAGTTACTTTTAAATATATATTTTTAGAATTGGGATTAAATTTGTTAAATTATTTAGATTTAAGATCAAATTAAAATAATGTGAATGCATTGTGGAAAACATATGTTATAATACCGATTAAGAAAATGCCTTGTTAAAGTGGGTAAAATGAAAAGTCGAGTACTTGAGTAACTAAAACAAAAATTACAGCAGTGGTTGGTTGGATGAGTAAAGAAGTTCCTTTTTCTGTTAAAAACTTAGTGAGAAGAACAATGTTTTAACCGTACGTGTAAAAACATGTACGGCCGCTAGATGGGAAAAAATATATTACTAATAGAAACATGGGGTTGAGATGGAAAGGAGAACCGACGGCCGAAGCTCAGGGCGACTAGATGAGGGTGTGACGCGTTTCCATCGGAGGAGGGCCCATGTCACAGATAAAGAGGGTCTACATCTTTCAAATAATTAATGGTCACCGTCCAAAACCAGATGTGCTTGCACTTGCACCACTGCCTTTGTCGTTTTGGGGGTGAAGGATGCAATTGTTTTCAAGTTTGAGCCATTGGAACCAAGTAAGCAGCTACTATTTTTCAATTAAAAGAAGTGATTTTTTTTTTGCGAAAGCTTCTCATGAAATTCTTCCACCATCACGGGTAGGCATGAAGGGTGTAGTTGATGATGAAAGAAACGCTTGGGTTAATGGAAAAGTAAGTAATTGATGCGAGAGTGAACAATTCTTCTCCTGATTGGAGCCTCACAAGATCCATAATCTTCAATCATTAATAATATTTTTTTTATACTATTAAACATATTTTTTTATAAATTCATGTGATATGTTAGAATTGTATCTACTATCAGATGATCATGTCTATATGTCCTATCAATCTACAAATACTTATTATTATTTTGAGTCTTACATCAACATTAACTATATTATAAAACCCCTCATATAAGTATGGGGAGCTTTATGGAACACCTCTTGGATGAACTCTCGTTCTCATTAAGTCTTGGATGATCACCACCCTCGACACATTACTCTTCTTAAAATCATTGACTAACTTTTCATTAAATCAAAATGAATGAACTGTTCATAGTTATCATAACCTAAATCTTATCATCAACAAATTGTACAATCAACAAATTGTACAATGAACATGAATCATTTTCTCAATTGAGAGAATCAATCAAAATGAAATCTCAAGAATGAAATAACTAAGGCTATCTCTCCATTTTTATTATAAATTAATTAATTTAAAAATAGATATAATTGAAGTAATTTAAATTTTTATAAATTTTAAAACATCAAATCTTGTTAATTAATTATTAAAACATTAAAATTGAATTTTATAAATAAAACACCGCTTTAAATTTGCGCCTTCTCAAATTTAAAAGTTTTAAATTTGAATATATACTTTCAAAACGGCGTTTTTTTTATATTTTTAATTTTTTAATCGAACACATTATTTTGATATAGCATTCTCGCATCCGTATTATATATATGACGAAGATGCTTTTACGTGACAGTGTTTTTGTCTTATATGATATAAATATGTGTAATTTTGATATTAATGTTTTTTAATGTTATTTTGATAAAAGAATTAAAAATATTATTTTAATAATTTAGCTTTGAATTCGAGTTTGGAGATAAAACGAGGAAATTAATGAGGTGAGATAGTGATTTAAATATTTTAGTTTTTAGGTTACCTTCTTTTTAGAAAACGTACTCTTTATTATGTACTATTTTATGAAATATATTATGTACT